AAATATATATATATATATATATATATATATATATATATATATATATATATATATATATATATATATATATATATATATATATATATATATATGAACCGGTCGCTTAATGCAATTCGCCTCTGACTGAGTAGGGTTGGACGACTGCAAGTTTATGTTCCCACGGCGTCGCTCCCTCTTGCAACGTACATCGATAAAAGTGTAATAAATCAAATATTCATGTCACAGCACGAGAGGACAGTCTTTCGCCTTGCACGATGTATGAGTATGAATTTTTCTGCGTATGTATGAGTGTGTGTATGTATATATATATATATATACAGAGAAAAATGGAAAAGTGAAGATATATACCTCGAAAATGTCACCCGCGTGGTTACACGAGGAAATTAACGTGTTGTGCTTTTTACGAATTAAATCGGATTAAGTATTAAGTTGCTCTTCTGTTTTCCTGTCTACGTACATACGCGTTCCCTCGCGTTCTCGCTCCTACAATGTACGTTCGTACGAACGTACTTTCGTGTGTGTTTCTTCTTTATATTTTTTCTTCTTTACGCAACAGGATGCCAGTGGCTGTCGCGAAATAGTAGCTGAGGCTACGTTTTATTTTTTTTTTTTTGTTTTTATTACAAACAGTATACTCTCTCGTGCTTATTTGGTTAGTAAATAAACTAGAGTTCCTTTCTTTGCGTAATTATGTTTTAACATCAAGTATGTAAGTATATATGTGTGTGTGTGTGTGTTTGTGTTGCGCGTGTAGTAATTAATGAAACTTGCGCGCTCTTTAGTATCGAGATAATATTTATGTGCACATATATAATAGAGGCTTAAATATATCTAGAGGACTTTGACGGAAATACTGCTCGAAGGTGAGACCATCTCGACGTCGTCGAGTTCGATATTGGTATTATCATTAGAAAATACGTCGAAATTTATATTAATAATATTTAAAATGAATCTCCTCCCTCTCTCTCTCTCTTCTTCTTTCCATCTCCCTTCTTTTTATCTCTTTTTCTTAATACCATTGGAGACCTTATCCTTCGTAGAAACTTAGTTCATTCAGTGCGCTTTCATTCGAGGATTAGAAAACGTGCGATAATTATTGATTCACATGAGAGAAGTAGAGTGTAATGAAACACAATGATATTCTTTGTTCCTTTTGTGCGTAAGTGGGTTGAAGTTTGGGCCGCTGGAAAGACGCGCTTTTATCTGAGATACTTCTTTTCCTCTTTTCGTCTCGCTTTTTCTTGTTTCACCGTTCTGAGATCTTAAATTACGTTACTTAGGTATAGTGCAAAGATAAAACTCAGAGATCAGTGATCCGCGAGATACAACATTCAAAAAGATCTTTCTGTGTATGGCAGTATGCAGTCGCAGAGATATCGAAAATAAAATGCTTCACCAGCGTATGTAAATAGAATTATATCATCTCTTTCTCTCTCTTTCTCTCTCTTTTTCTGTTTCTCTTTCTATTACATCTAGACAATATTAAGTATTAATAGGTCATCAAAATAGCTTTGGAGTTGCGGTATTACTTGCAAAAAATACTGCGGAAGTGCGTTCTTTAAATCTAACGTCTAGCATTTAGGTTTGCTAATTCTTCGCGCTTTGATAATATTGAAGGACACATTCTTATATATTCGTAACACGAGATCCAATTGTCAGATACGATAATTAAGTCGACATAATGACGGAGTATCGCGAGCAGGTCACCGAGTCGATTAATCCGGAAACTAATTGCCGCCTGAGCGAATAGCGTTAAAGAAAATTGAAAAGGTATCGCGTTAATTCGAAAAGAATTGTCGTATCTTTCAATCGTGATATCTGGAGGATCGCGATAGCCGTCGGAGGACATTTTCCGACCCGGTGACGAGCGATGAATTTTGTACGAGTTCCGCGCGAATAAACAAAGACATACAAGAATAATAAGCATCACGTTGATTACGGCGACAAGAGTTTGCGACGTAGCGTTCAGTCTAGCGACTTCGATCTGTCTAATTTGTGTTTACTTTCAAGATCAAAGTTTGTACTGCGGTTCATTGCACGAGGATCACGCGCCCCCTCGATGTTGACGCGCGGGGACGGCGCGTTTTCAAAAATAAACGTTTCTAGTATCACATTATTGGATGGATTTGATTGAGAAGAGCTCGCGTCGGCGTGCATCGATCGTTCCGCGACGTCGTGGGCCGCGCTCTCGTCGAAAGCCGCCATGGAATCGAGAGCGACCGCTGCGGGGCTCGACGAGTCCTTGGGAAGTGCTCTCTGGAAACTGCCGTTGCCTTGATAAACGACACCGCCGATATGTTTGCGCGGTAATCGCAGTGAGCCGCCATAATTCGAGCGTTCTCTGGCGAAGTTCCTCTCTCGGCTGAGAGCGGGCATCACGAGTGACGGGCGCCTCGATTCGTCCTCGTCACCGCCGCTCGCCTCCGACTTGGGCGACAGGCTGTGCGCCTCCGCGGCGATCACACGCTTCTGCCGACACACCTGGTCGCAACGACTCTCCTCATCTTGCATGGTGACCTTAGTGTGAATTTTCGGCATCGCTTGATCGTCCGCTGGGCGCCACGGAACGCGTTGCTCTTCGTAGCTGCTGGTTGCCGCGTCGGTATTGAGCATCGCGTCGTACCCCTCCATGTCCTGCACTGCGTAACCATGAGCCGCCGTCGTCGCCGCTGTGTTCTCCGCCTCCGAAGTGTCAGACAATCTGTCCGCCGGATATCCTGGCAGCCGATTCGGGCTGGTCTGATAGTTGTGGCCGAACGATAAGTTGCCGCCGCCAGAAGCAGCCGATGTGTCTGGATATTCCAGAGGCACACACACGTTCTGACTGATCGCGCCGTTCACGACGCAGTATTGCGAGAAATGCGCGAACGGCACGTTCTCGTGATTGTCGAGTTGCCGTGAGTTCGCGTTATCACTTTGACATTGACTCGTGTTGCCGTCCACCAATCTCGGCGGAGAATTACAAGTGTAGAAAAAGCACTGCGGTACACTTGGATTCGGTATCACATTCGCTGTCTGCAAACCCATCCGCGCGGTCGAAGACTCCGGCGACGCCGGATTGGAAATCTTGCCGCGTGTCTGAGCTATCACCGTCTCGTAGCTAGGTGGAGGACCATATAATTGGTAGTAAGGACAGTTGGCGTCGTTCAATACAACATTCATATTTTGATAGTGCGTCGATGTGGTCGCATTACCGTTATACGCCGGCGCTGCTGTACTTCTTTGAGGACCTATATTGCGAAAAAAATATATAAATACATAATATATAAATTATATATATATATATATATATATATATATATATATATATATATATATATATATAAATACATAATATATAAATTATATATATATATGATATATATAATATATACAAGTATATAAGCATATAAATAAATTATTACAGCTGGGAATTCTCACGTTTTAAAATTAGAATGGCCAAGCTTCTTGTAAAAATTTGTGACATTGAGGAAACAATATCTCAATAAGAAAAGAACACATGCCTTTCCACATGCGATGTAACAGGACGGTATTTCTTGCAGAATTGTATGTAATACGAGCTTGTTGCGCCTGACAAGGTGTGTTACGAAGAGAATTTTGGGATCTAGTGTTGGAAGATCGAGTTGGAATAGCAGAAGCAGCTGCTCTGTATCTGCCTTGCAGCCAGTACCGGTACCACCAACCACCACCAGAACACACCAGGAACATGATTATAACTAGAATCCTGAAAATTACAAAGATGTCTTATTGATATGTGTAGACATACATACATATAATATAAACAAGTATTGGTAAGCATGTACAATTATATAAATTGTGCAACTTGTAAGATATGATGCTAAGTATTGAAACAGCTAAAGAAAATATTAGTTCATTAGTTATTTAAATTGATATATAGGACATTTTAATATAAATAGAATTATTATATAATAATTGTGCTTACCAGTAGTACCATAAATGATGGAAATGGAGTCCTGGTGATATACAACAACCAAGTGCACAACAATATTCTGTCCTTGAACATCTGCAAGTATTAAATTAATAATATAAAAGTTAAATGAATAATATAAAAATTCTTTTCAGTATACAACATACAATATTATAATACACAGATTTAAAAAAAGAATTTATTATTATTATGTTATTAAAATAAACATAGTCAAATAAAATTGGTTGATATGTGAATGCCAAAGCATGTAAAACTTACTCATAATATTTTATTTCTCCAGGTATTTCAGAGGCACAGTACTTTGCTTCTGCCTAAAAAATAATTTACAATATTTGTAATATTTCATGGGATCTATGTAAAAATAACAACATATTTCAAGAGAGAGATAATCAAGTAAAACTATAACAAATATTATTTACATGAACCCCATGTTAGTAAAGAATAAATCAATAATTTCTAAACTCTAAGTAATTTTTTAGATCATAAAAGATAGATCAGAAAAAAGTGAATACAATCTACTAGCAAGAGTCGAGGTAACTTACGTAAATGAGACACTTGGATGTACCCGCAAATATCGCGAGTTTCTTCTTGGTGTTGCGAGCCATTTTACTAACGAATATTCACTTCGTCAATCCCGTGGAATCAAACACAATGAGATCTAACACGCTGTTTTGACATAATCGCCATTTCCCACCGTCCGTGATGTACACACAACATTGCACATCGCTTATTGATTTCAATTTCGGAACTCAACCATGACGTCAGCTTACCTAGCTCTCCCAGCGTTACTCACCTCTTATTTTGTCGCAAAACAACAGGTCTAGTAGTGCTCATACCCGTTATTTCTGTTGGAAATTAGTTCCAAAGTCTCCGCTACGAGTGGAGTCGCCACCTGTCTCAATAAAAAATTGAGGTCGTGGTACAACTAAATAATGGGTCGGACATATCTTAGCTTCCTTAAGTAGTACTACTTAACAGTGAATGAGACGTTCTTTTATTTTACCTTAAAACCCATTGCAAATGAAATGACATAACTGCATGTGCATACAATGGCTGCGTTCAACAGAACTCAGTGCTTTGTAAACGGTTTAATGATATATTGCAGCAGTTTAGATGTTCTGCTGAACACTCTGGGGGCATATCAGCGCTATATATATAAATATATATATTATTTTTCAATTTAAATTATAGTATCCACAACATTATATATTTTTATATAAATATTGTGCTTCAATAAAACTGGGGGCATCCATCTTGTTCAACACGTTATACTTGAATTGCACTGAAATATATACTACTTGAAACGCGCGCTACCTCTTGAGTGTGCGGGATGAGAGAACATGGGTGTTTTCCAATTGCTTAACACATCTTGACACACACGTACACAAAAGGCCTGTTCTTTGTAGTTGCACTGCTGAACTGGTGCAATATATTGAAGTGAAACAAATATACGTTTTCTCACTCTAACTTATTGCACTAGTTCAGTAGTGCAGCTACAAAGAACAGGCCTAATATTAGTTAACTATATATTATCTAAAATATCTTATAAGATGATATGCAACCAATAAACTGGTTTTGTGTAACGGAGTGTATGCAACTGGAAAGCACCCAGAATGACGTTCGCGGTCGTTGGGAGCGTGTAACGGATCGCGGCCTATGTACTCGAAACATTTCGGTTCGAATATTGGTTTAATAATTTAGCGGGAACTTAAAACACATTGGTTAGAATCTCGGCTTAATAACTTAGCGGTGAATCGAAACCGGTTGGTGCAATCGATCCTAAGAGATATAATCTTTTAATTTTTGTCTATAGTGTAATGCAACTCAATAGCTGCGTTCAGCAGAGAAAGCTGCTTTGCAACTGTTGTAAAATTCGTCAATCTGATTGGAGTATGCTCTTAATTTGAGTTGAATACAAAAGCATATGACCAATCAGATTCACGAATTTTACAACAGTTGCAAAGCAGCTTTCTCTGCCGAACGCAGCCAATGATAAATATCTTTTTATTTTTAAATTATATAACTCAACAACACATCAGAGGGATTTTTATTATCAAATAGTACAATTTCAACGACGGATAAAAATTTTATTTTTCAGAAGCACGACTAGAGAAAAAAGTAAATTTTCTTTTTTCTATTTACTAATCTAAAATAAAAATTGGATCACTCTTAAAAATATTATTTAACAAACAATTTAACTATAATTGAATACAAAATTAAGGAATTGCTAAGTATAGATTCATAATTTTATTCTCTTATTGCTAGTATAATTGTACAATCTTATGGTCTGTATATCTCGATACTTTTACATATGCTGTTCTCTATTCACCCAAAATAGATACAGCATACAAAGGCATGATTACATTAATCTTGGTTCCACTTTGCTTCGATTTACTTTATTCCTAAAGATTATATTATGATTGTGACGGAGCGAAAGTGCTTTTGAAGCGGAATGCGATACAATACAACGCGACGAAATAACAAATTTCACAATAGCCAATTTAGGATTGGTCTTCTCTTCTTCCACATTACAAACCATCACAATAAAGGCGTATTAATAAATTCCTACATCGCTAAAGTTTTATTTAGCAAGTTTTTGAGTCTTTGTGTGATTCATTTCACCATTTTTTTGCAACTGGCACTGATTTTAGACACTGCATCTCACCGAATAAATGACAGTGCATTAAATATTTGTCGTTAATCCACTTCAGATGGACATTAAGCCATATATCTATAAACCAATACAACAAAAGTCCTTTAATCTAGCCAATTACTTTATCGATTAATTCTTGAAAAGGTGTATGAGTAATATAATATTAACTAATATAAATCGGGAAAGGGGGGAGAGAGGAGTTGCGATATATAAAATTTAAATATGTACTATACAAGAGCTTACACGTAGTATATTAGGTTCACTGTATAATGCTTGTTCTTCAAGCATGTACTTTTATGGTATTTTCTTCTTTTTCTTCTTCTTATGCATCGTGAAACATTCATCGATGTATGTAAATATCGATATATGCAAGTTTTACGTTTGAGTTTGAGTCGAGTCCTTGCAGGATGTATCATCGTTTATCTACTGAACGGGTTTAGATTTCTATTGTAGTGATCTTCGTCATCACCGTTGCCGGCCTTGCCATTGTCATTATCCACATCGTCCTTGAACGGATTATTCGCATCATCGTCGTCGGCGTCTTTAGCGAAGGGATTCTTAGATTCGTCATAGTCGTCCATCTCGAAGGGATTCGACGGTACGATGGAATTTTTCGGTGGGATAAAGTGCTTCTCGATCGGTGACGACTTTGGCGTAGTGCTGTTTAGAATACGGGCTTCTCTGATCGGCACCGGCGAGGCTTTCGCAGAGTTGACTCGCGGTGTCGACCGACCGCTGCCCGTACCCGAGATATTAGCTTCCAACGACGAGGAGTATACGTCTGGTTTCGTAAAACTTCGTAAACGCTCCTCCGTCATGTGGACGTCGTATGTAGTACGTCGTGGATCTATTTTGCCTATTAGAGTCGTGCGTTGATCGGTCAATACATGTATCATTTCCAAAGATACATCGTATTAGATTGGTACAAAAGATTTGTCATTTTTCTACTAATTTTCCGTAGGAAATTTGGGTATATGAAAAAAAGAAATAAAAAATCCTCGTTAGATATTAAAAAAAAAAATACCGAGTTAATGTTTATCTTATTCGTAATTATTAATGCTTCGAAATTGAACAATTTCGTTTTCAGTTTTGTTTAACAAACACGACAGACCTTTTGCATCAACTTAATATATCGTACCTGATATAGAACTCTTCCCTTCGCTCAACCTGAGCCTTGCTTCAGCACCTGGCCCGTAGTTCAACTTAGGTTCTTCCAATCTTGTCGGAGTAGGTAACGTTTTGTCCGTATCGGTGATCACCATTAATTTCTTAAAAACTCCTCTACCAAAATAATCGGCTACTAAGGAAAACGGGTCCTCCGCTTGATCGAGAAGACTGTGGAAAGAGTCATGCAGGTCTTTCGATTGCTCTTGCGCTCTTATAATATCCAGTGACTTATTGTTATTCGGCAGACATGCCGGACACTCGTTCTCATTTTCCGAGAAGCTTTGAAAGCAACTGTCAAGGAAAAGAGACAACACATTAGGTAGAAATTGAGCTAACGAATGCATTAACATATATAAGATATTAATAATGAAAACGATAACGTGTTAAAAATATGAAGCACAAGAATAAGAAACTTACTGCTGATGGTATGAATGTTGACACATGAAATGCACAGACGGTAATTCTAACTGATGATGGCACGCGCTGCATCGCGAACCTTGGAAGATTATCGTATTATTCTTTATCGCTTCTATGCGTTCACGTAACTTGCAAGTATCGGCTCTGTACTTTTCTGTTAATTCCACGTCAGCCTGAGTTTGTTCGTGTTCCGCTCGTAATACACTATACAAATATGTTCTAACATCTCCCAGTGTACAGGTCAATGAAGTAGAGATTGCATCAATGACCATCAAAGGAGATAACAGTCTTTCTTGAGCTGCAACGATAACGCCGATGCATTTTCTCGAACGTTATTAATATTCAGCGAATATTTACCGATATAAGCTAATATATCCGCGAGAAGCTTCGTCGGCGCATCCTTGTTCTTGGCAATGCTCCACAATGCCTGTACCCACAAGTTAGGATCTTGATGACCGAAGCTTTTACACGTGGCTAGAACTTGTTCGCTATCTCCTTCCCGTAAGTGAAATCTCAATATCTCTTGATATCTGACAGAAAAAAGCGGGACAGGTATGTTGAGAGTTACGTTTGATACAAGGTTTCAAGATATAACGGTGACTTACAATTTGCTCTCCTCGTAAAGAAATAGCAATCCTTTCCTGAAATTATGCTGATGACAAAGTATTAGTATTTGATGCTTATCGTAACGGGCCTCCGTATTCTGCAGAAGTCGTACGATTTTTTGTTCATATTGTATTTTAACTACATCATTATCTAAAGCCGACCAGACGTGTAAATAATGCTCTACTAATGTATTGTAGACAAGTGTACTCCATCTAGAAAAAATGCAAAAAAGAAATAGATGAATTAATTTCATGATGAAAGGATAAATTTTAGCATTTTTCTTACAAAATGCACTAACCTTGTATCAGATTTAACTAGATGTTCCAAAAATTCTACGAGTCGTTCGGAATTATTTAGAAAGAGATGAATAAAATCTTCAGGATTGGCTCTATCGACGTGCTGTTCTACATAACCATCCAGAGCTTCCTACGAGGAAAAATATATCAATTTTATTTTTTCTTCGTACACGGTAACTTAATAAATTTGACAAAAGTATACAAATGTAAAAGTATACAAACGATATATTGTGTCGTCGTTACGTACCTGATCTACGAGTGGTTTGTTAGAAGGTTTATAATTCGTGCATAAAGCTTTCAAAAATCGAGTAGATTCATTTGGCACATTTTCAATTAAGATATTTCCATACTTTTTCATGTTGGCTTCTGCCTGGAAAATTATTAAAGCGCTACGTAAAGTAAATGTATATCCATTTTTTAGAAAGAAAAGATAGAGAGAGAGAGTAAGTGATGTGTATACAGGCAAACGTCACATAAAATATCACGATACCTCTTCAAATTCTAATGTTGCCATATACTCGAGCGCCTTTCTATATTCCCGTTTGTCTTCGATCTGAATTCGAAGATACCACTCGTGCTTGCCGTGTTTCTGCGCGAGCAATAGCGCATCCTCGGGCGATGCTTGGCGACAAACTTTTATCGCTATTTCTACGTCAAAATCGACTTCACGATCTTTTGTCTGGATAACAACATATAACACGTTATGAATATATATATATATATATATATATATATATATATATATATATATATATATATATATATATATATAT